TCTCAGCCTTTTCTTCGAAGCGCGTATGCGACAAAAAGTGGTAGAAAACGAGTAATACGAAGGATATAATGCTGTTATGTCATTTGATCGCTTCAACAACTGGTGCAGAAAGACTTTGGAACCGCGGAAAACGCAGCCGCACTGACCCGCCCCGACAGTCCGTAATGATGAGGAGTATATGCAAACGAACATTTAGATAATCAGTGACCTCGGTCAGACCTCATCGCTAAAGCTCAGATTTAAGGTATAAGGCTCATTGTGATCCGGGTGGAATCCTCTACCATACAGATCTTTACGTCCCTTTGTTTGTTCGAATAATATTCAGGGAATCGTTTTTACCTTTTTAGTAACTATTAGAAGTAAGATCAGGGTTATTATGGATAGGTCGCGGGCCAGTATGTACAGAGGGAACATCATTGCTAAGCCCTGTCTGCATATTTCGGTTTCGATGCAGCTCAAGAAGCAGAAAAGCTGCTTCCGAACTCTGTAGGATTTCATGTTATTAAATATCCTTCCTCAAAACTGAGGTTCATTCACAGGATTTATATGTCACACGATATGAGTACTAGTTAGGAACCATCTAACATAACCAAGCTATTTCAAAAATAGATAAGCCGTCGCATGTAAATTTAACAAAGTCACTGACCTTGCTAAGATTCAGCCCATCATCAATTCTTGATCAGAGGAAATCACCATGGCGGTCGTTGTGGATTTCAATAGGACTGCAATTTATGGTTGGCATCCAAATATCCATATACTTCATGTCAATGTGGCCGTATCTGAGTGCAGTAGGTTAACCATCATCTGAACATCTCCCGTCTCACCTCATTTTGAACCATAACCTCGAACTGGATAATGTAGTGCTTTATCAGATTGACGAAACTGCAACGGTCGACTTTCTCGGCTGGGTTGTAGCAGCGTGCAGCCTGGGCTGTTCAATAGTAAGTACGATGGTTCTCTTATCTCATTCTCAGTATTTATTTAAACATTGCTATTTCGATCGAAAGAAGCTCTTGTAGGCAAATCCGGTATTCGGATGGTGGAACCAAAAGACAATGTCCATCAAAACGCCAGTTCTCTTCGGAACAGTGATGACTATTGGAGGTCAAGGGTATTTTAGTTTGTAATGAGGCGAAAAGACATCTGTAAAGAGACAAAGACACTGTATCTGTTTTTGTGGTGACCAATGTTTCCATTTTTGAAAGGATACGACAGTGGGAGCACGAAGTGGGAGAGGGATTGGGCCTTGTCGATACTAGACCACACTTTGGAATATAGATTGCAATACTTTATATTAGGTTGTTTTTATAGGATATCTTCTTAGTTACGGCTTGCTGATATGAAGCTGGCTGAAGGCTGTCAGAACAGTAGCGATCTCTAGCTTGTTCCAAGTTTTTCAGGTGCTCTATGCAGGGAGGGGGAGGGGTTGGGCATGAAAAGGACACTACATACAGGGGGGGGGGGCAAAAAAGTCATTTTGCCTCCATGACTTTCAAGGCGCTATAAGTTACACTTTATTAAATTTTTATCGGACATTTTTACTACCATATTAAAGAGCACATTAAATACTATAATGATACTCCGCCACAGCCTTCTGGAGGAGCGCCATCGAGAGATTCGGCCGCGCGAAAGTGAGTGGGTACCGGAGTTGAGCGAGATCGTTGATTTCTCCGCCACTGTAGACCACCCTGTTGAGCTCCGCCCCGAGTAATTGAGGGGGTTTAGTTCAGGACCCCCGCTTAAATACTCCATCTTTTCCAGGTACTCAACGTTCTTCCATTCCAAGTAGGCGAAAGTTTTTCCAACGCCCTTCGATTAAATGTGTTGTCACCCAATCCTGTAGCAGTACAAAGTTTCCAAGAAGGTACGGGCGACGACATGAAGATGGGATATTCTCCTCGAGTTGCTCGATGTAGCCACCAGCGCACACCCTCAGTCTGGGGCCCACGAAGAAAATATCGGTTCATCCATTCCAGGTACGGCCGGTCCACACCATCAACCCGCGCCTTGGTGAATGGGGTGAAGATGATGTCCTGGACCGTAGCGACGTTGCCGGAGCTGCTCGATGTTGGAGGTCTTGCAGATCAAGAGTACTGGTCTCCAGGTAGCTATCCATGGGTGACTCCATACTAGAAGTTTCGCAGCTGTTTGGAGGTGACATGAATTCCAAAGGTCTTCTCCAGTCAGGCTGCGACTGGAGATGACTTCATATTTTGGTGTACATGAAGGTGATGGGCGAGAGCCAGCTCCTGCTTGTAGAGGAACATCTTGGGTATCTTCCGCCCTCTTGAGTATCATACTCCCACTTCTCGTCTGGGCTGGCGAAAACTTCCCCTCAATGTGAGTAGGCCGGAATTGACTTTTTTTTAGCCACCCCCCCCCCTGTATCGTGCATGGAGTCAATCTCAAAGATCACGCAGTATTAGTAAGGTATATGAAAGATGCGTGGTGAAATATTAAAATGTACTCTATGAGCAGCAGCAAGCACTCCGATTCATTCATAACAGCCACGACAGGGTGATGCCACCTATAAAGGCGTCGGCATCAGCTCGAAGCGACCGCCACCAGTGCCACGATTGAACACTCACGTGGAGGTTCTTAGAGGCTGCTACTATGATGGTAGACCCAGCCATCTTCGGAGAGATGCCGCTATCGTCCATGAATTGTTTTTCATGCTTAACCTTGGAAGTCAAGTTGAAGGTCAAGCGCCCTGAAACTCCGGGTACTTCGGTTGGACGGATTCCGAAGATCTGCGGACTGAGACAGGACACATGTGTACATGTTTGGGAAACCCACTTGCTCCGTCTTTCCTACGAAGAGTAGTCTAATAGTTTTCTCGATGGACCACGTACCTATTTCTATTGCTTTCTTATAGGCAGTAACCAGGGTCAGGATGTATTTTGGCTCCAATTACCTTGAAGTTTCACGTTCGTGATTGGATGCAGTTGCAATGGCTATACTCATTCGAAAGATGATATGCAAAATAACATGTTTGTAAAGGCTGCTCACATAACACAATCCAGACGGAGCTTACAAACCTTCATCCAAGTGGCTGAGATGGGTTTCTAGCCTGGGTAAAACGAAGCAATAACAACGTTGCAATTTGCTGTAGCCTCCACTAAGACTGAAAAGCACAAGACCTACGGCAGAAGAGGACGTCACGGCGACGGCAGCGCGTGCGCATGCCAATTCTCCTCTCTCATGGTTATACACTATTCTTAGGACTCTTCCTCTTCCAGACTCTCGCAACCGTCCTCACATTCGCACCTAGGTACTCGGGAACATCGCTTTGTCTCTCTCCATAGGTTGTAGCTGTGCCATGGTTATATATATATATATATATTTATTTATTACACGAGTAGCCTCGTGTGGGGAAATTCCACAACAATTACGAACACAACTATGGATCAATTACGTTCTAGAACATTCAAGCCAAATCATAAAAGAGGACATAAATAACTCACCAACAGTAAAAGCAAATAAATAAATTGAGAGCACCCAGTATTGTATCGAAGCAGCAGAGAAAAAAGGAACAAAAGAAACAGCTTAGGACCAAGGGATTTCTTTAAAACCGTCGTCGTTTCGGATGCTTTTTGCATGCGTTTTGGAATACTGGAATCACCCTGTGGGTGAAGAAATTTCGCCTGCAACTCAATTTGGCCCGGCCCACATCAATTTTCATCCTACCGCCTCTTGTTGTCGGTTGTCGCAGCACGGGGCCAAAAACTTCTTAAATTCTCACATGCGTACATACTAACCTCATGATCCCTGCAACTAATAGGGCAGCGGCGTGGTTTCAAGCGTGGGCCAAAGCATTCTCCACCAATTGTAGCGGTCTCAGGCTGGCATCACTGTTGGAATGACTGCGCTTCAGTCACGCTTCATCACGCTCTATTGGATGTAAGGATCAAGGGGGTCCAAAGTGACTGTCATTCAGGACAAGGTTTGTATGGAATACTTCCAATGTTCAACTCCAACCAGAAGTGGATAATGATGGCCGCTCGTGTAGTGACAGGGTTCGGTGCAGGTAACCAAACCATCTAAATTTCTAGTGTTAATGAGATTACGAGAATAATAACGAATAATAACATAAAGATGCGATACTAAAGAAACCAAGGAAACACATGCAGAACGTGAGTATTCAGGGACTTTGTCTGTTCTGAGGGCATATGCAGCAACAGCTTCCGTACCACGTGATCGACTCCGAGCGGTTTCGCTCGGAACTGCTGGGTTTGTGCTCGGTCTTTCTTTCGGGCCAGCAATACAGGTACGCTCTATGTATTCAGGGATTTCTGCAGTGCTCTAATTTTTCACATAGTTGCTCACAGTTGATATCGAGGGGGCAGAATCCCGTAGTCTAGCGATGTCCAACTTCTCGCTTCGGGAAACCGAGCATTTTTGTGAATGCTGATGCTCTGCTACGATTTCTTTACGGATGAGACCATACGCTCCCTTTAGTGGAACAGTTCTGCCTTCCTAGGCTGCATTTACTCCAATCGGAGATGTCGGGACACACCTGGGATCTATCGTTTTGAACATGTACACAGTGCCTGCGTTTTTCATGGTTGTGGTTTCGATAATTGGTTGCGTTATCGTCGTGACATTATTTGAAGAGGAGTATGCTGGTATTGTCAAGAAGGACGAGAAAGGTTCGGATTGATTCATTTATCTGTAAAAGGAAGAGATCCCGTCGTCATTTGCTGAATGTTTTCGAATACTTCATCTGATTTGCACTTACACGCTACGGAAGCCACCAGAAAATTAGGAAACTACTACATTTTTGAAATTCTCCAACACTCCCATATGCCAATGCGTTTAAAGCCCTCCGATTACTATTCACAAGCCACATCCTGTACAGGAGGGTCTGACCACGCAACTGATCAGGGACCCACGATCCGGTTAGCTGCAGATGATAGGCAGTGTCACTGCGGCTGCCTTTGGCAGTGTGCCAAACCCACTTTCTACCATTTGCTGGAGCGAGCAAGCCTCAAGACAGCATCATATTGCTCCCATCAGACGTTTTCCACCAAATGTTGTCGCTTAGCTGCTTCAGCAACTGGTACAGAGATTCGGCGCTACGCCAAACACATTTGCTTTGACACGCCCCAACATTCGCAGCAGACCAGACTGTAAGCGGTGACTGCACTTTTTTGATTTTTTCTGGATCTGAATATCGATTTTTGCGTTTGACACCCAATTATTGATAGCTCTTTTGCCTGAACCTTATTTTGAGAGCGTTCATGTCAGAGCGTTCGATGGAGCAAACTTTCGCTTCTAAGTAGGCTTGAATAGAGAAATACATTGGTGTCTAGTCCAACGAAGAAGAAGCTTATTTGATAAAGTCTGGCGTTCCATGAATCATGGAGTGTTACTGTCCAAGGAGGGA